TAGGTTTATTGTCCCGTGAGGACGTTTCTGTCTTTCAATTGCCTCTTTAATCCAGCGATGTTTGTTTTCCTCTGTCCCAGTGATGTTCGCTCTGTCCCCGTCCATAATGTGCTTCTCTCTTTTACACTGGTCAGAAACGGCCGATTTGAGTTGTTCCTGTTCTGCTTTGTGTTTTGTTGCTCGTGTTTCGCCTTCGCTGTTTCCTTCTCACGTTCTGTTCTATGTTCCTTTTTTCGCTGGTGAGCAGTCGAAACTGTCAGGTATGAAAACAAACTCTTGGTCTGAAAAAAGAACCTAATAACATAAAATATCGGAAGACCAAATGAACCTCATCGGACTGTGGTCCAATCAGGACGAGACTCGAGCTCCTACATCAGAGTATCAGAGTTTTCAGGAGTCACACAGTCCAGGCCAGTGTGTTGTGTGTGCTGTGTTGTGTTTGTTGTGTGTTGTGTGTTTTGTGTTGTGTGTCTAACCCTGTTGTGTGTTTTGTGTGTTTTGTGTTTCAGCCGTGAGCGGTCAGAGCAGTCCGTCGCCCGTCCTCCCTCTGCTCAGCGCCAGCGCCGTCGTGTCTCTGCTGCACAGTCTGGCCGTCCTGTCGTAGCCCCGCCCCCCTCACCAGCGCCACCTGCTGCACAAACCCGCACACGCCGCTCTTCACCCGCGCTTCACCCCGCGCTTTACCCCGCTCTTTCACCTTTAGCCTCGCTGTAAATTGTAAAAAAGTGACATTTTTACATTTAATATTGAAAGTTTTAATGCTGTTTCAGAGTTTATGAAGCCTATTCGTATGTTTCCTGTTCTAGACATATTTTTAAGGTTATTTTTTTCGACTTTCAGACGTTAGAATATTTTGTTTGGAGTCGGTAAAAGGCTCTGTGCGCAGCAGTTAGCTCGCTCGCTCACTATGTCGCGAAGCTAACAGTCACTTTTATTTAAATCATAAATCAAAAACATAAAATAAACAACCTTCAAATTCAAATTATTTAAAGTGAAAATGACCCAATTATTTATATATATATATGTAGAAAACTTCAGTTTGTGACGTTGCTTTAGTATTTATTATGATTTAAGATTAGCGTTAGCATTAGCATTAGCGCATTAGCGTTAGCATTAGCATTAGCATTGACACAAACCTCTTTATTTGTGTGTTGTTGTTTTTTTTAACGTAACATTTAATAACGACACGGCAAAAGACCACAGCGATCCACGACTGGACCAGTGAAGTGACGCTCAGGAATTTAAATTAAAACCTGTGATATAAAGTCATTTAAAATAATGAAATTCAAATTAATAATATAAAACTGCTAAATGAATATCTTAAAAAAATAATATAGTCATTTTAAATTATGAAATTTAAACCAATAATGTTAAACATGATAAATGAATATGATAATAAAAAAGAATAAAAAGGGCTCAAGAAATTATTGGTAAAATGAAATATTCAGAGAAAGAAAACTATAAATATGGACGTGAAACATTATGATTTACACTGGGTCACTTTAAGAAATAAAAAAAATAAAAATGACAGTGTGCGGTTGCGGGCGCTGTCGTGCACAGAGTCTCTCTCATCAGTCTGGAGCCCGCGGACTGGACCAAAATGTTTCCTTTTTGGTTCTTCCTGTGGATCAATCCTGCCCATCACCTTCACCTTTCACTATTTTTCAATTCCGTTGGGAAGAGAAACAGTTTGAACAGAGGTTTGAGTCACACACATCTGATTCACTTTTGCATTTATGAAGTTCGCAAACAAATTTCTCAAGTCGTTTTCCGCTGTTTGGATCCAACAACCACAACAATTACGACGTCTGAATCCCAAAACTAAAATATGACAATATCAGAACCAGAAACAAAAGTGATATGGTTCAAAAGACTTGAAAAGATCGACTTTGTCAATAGACACATCCCACTGGGAAAACAAACATGGAGGTTTGATGCTCACTTTTTCAGAAAATCCTTCTCAGTGTGTTTTGCGCGATGACCAGAAGTCTGAGATTCTTGATGCTTGTATTTCCACCGTGGGCCAATTTGTGGAGGAAAAGTCCAGGTGCGTTTATTGGTCCCAGTCGGTCTCTGAGCATCAGACAAACACAGAGACAGAGATTTAACTTTATTTATTGGGTCATTTTAATTCTATAAACGACAAAGCAGAAAAACAGTTGGTCCTTTCACGAGTAAAGTTCAGTTTCACTCGTTTCCTGCTCCACGTGTGTGAGTTCAATCCTACGACAGAGTATAAGGGTCAGATTAAAAAAATAAATAAATAAAATGATGCTAACGCTACAAGAATAAAGTCGTAACATTTCAACATTAAAGTTGTAATATTATGAGAATAAAATCAAAGCCAGAAAAAGTTGTGATTTTACAGGAATAAAGTCGAAGTTAAATAAAGTCATAATATTATGAGAATGAAGTCGTAATAAAATCAAAGTCAAAGTGAAAAATGCGGCAGAAGAAGAAAACTTGTTTATCAAATTAAAACCAAAAATAAGAAAATGAAATAAAACAAAAAACAATTTTCTTCATTATTTGTGCCTCCAGACTGAACCAGGACTGAACCAGGACTGAACCAGGTCCGGGACCAGACCAGGACTGAAAATGGTTTAGTCCTGATTCAGTCCGTATGCGGCGCAACAGTCCCGCTTTGCATTTTAAAGTCACGGAAATGTCGTTTCCCATTTCTGTGACTTAAACCAGGACTAAACCAGGACTAAACCATTTTCAGTCCTGGTCTGGTCCAGGTCTCAAGTCCTGGTCTTTCTGGTTTGGTTCTGGACCTGGTTTAGTCCTGATTTAGTCCTGGTTCAGTCGAATAAACGAATGATACACAGATTCTTCTCCTTTACAAAATGCTCCAAATTCAGCATTTTGACTACGACTTTATTCTCATAGCGCCAGCATATATATATATATATATATATAATATATATATATATATATATATATATATATATATATATATATATATATAATATATATATATATATATATATATATATATATATATATATATATATATTATATATATATATAATTTTTTTTTTAATCTGACCCTTATACTCTGTCGTACAATCCAGTTAAGACACAAAATAAAGTTTATATTGGTAATAAAAAGATTTAAACTCACAAAACTCAACAGAAGTGACAGAAAACTTTTGTTACCGCTGATCTCAGTCCACATCATCAGAAATGATTTGAGGTGAATTTACAGTTAAGTGTAATAAACATCAGCGTCCACTAGAGGGAGCACTACAACAGCTCTGTGGATTTAATCTGCTGAAACTTGTGGCTATAAAAATGTTATTTCTGAACATAAAAAATCCAAACCAACTCCGTTGTTTAAAACATATCCACAGTTTGTGTTGGTACAAAACCTCAAATGTTAAAAAAAGTGAAACGTAACAACACAAAACAGAAAGAACAGAAAGAAAAGACGCTCCCAACGTCAAAGAAAAACTGTTTGTGTCTAAAACAAAACCCAATCTCCAGTTTTATGTTTAAGTTTGTAATATGAACTTTAAATGTGCGACGCCGTCAACAGTGTTTTGAAGTTTACTTTTAAAATGTAATCCCCTACAGATTACAGATTACATACCCCAAAATGTAGTTTGTAACAGAATCCATTAAATTACTTAAAGTGAGTAATGTAATCTGAATACTTTGGATTACTTGATTTGCTGTAGAGAAACAAAGACGAGGAAACACATCCACACAGCACGATTTAGACCTGTTAAATCCTGTTTTAGTCCTGGTTTAGTCCTGGTTTAGATCTAGTTTAGATTTAGTTTAGTCCAGGTTTAGTGTGAGAATGAGTGGAATTACCCCAGTAAATAAATAAATAAATAAATAAAGGATTTAGCCCAAAATGTGAAAACAGTAAAATCCCTCTGTTTAATCCATTTATTTCAACAAAGTAACTGTAATCTAATTACCACTCACTGAAACAGTAACTGTAACTGAATACAGTTACTCTGATCATTTGTACTCTGATTACTTAACTTTGGTACTTGTAATCTGTACTCCTCGACTCTGTCCGTCAAACACACAAATATTTATATGACAGAATCACATTAGTGAAACATCAAACTCAGATCTGTGAAGTTGTTTATGATTCGTTTCGTTTCAAGAAGTTTTTTTTCTTCAGTTTTCAGACGATCTCTAAATATTTTGTCGGTAGTACATGTAGACGTACTTCAGCGAACACGTAGAGCCTCCCCAGACCGAGATCAACACTCCACGTTCAAAGTGTTTTAACCTGGTCCAGACGTGAAGCTCCTGCTGCAAACAGACCAATGAACCAAACCTGCTGAAGGTTCTGCTCAAACGGAACAAACGCTGATGTCACGAGAGAAATAAAACTGTTCTCCAACTCACTGTGCGTCTGTGTGCGTTTGTGTGTGATGTTTATGAAAAATAGACTTTGTTTTATGTACGGGGCGTTAGAATATTTACTGATACAGACACTTTAAATCAGGGGTCTCAGACTCGGGGCCGGGGCAACTGCGGCCCGCGAAGGATTTTTTGCGGCCCCACTTGATTCAAAGAATAATGTCAGTGCGGCCGCGGTAGATGTACGCAACAATCCCATCCCCCGACCGCGGGCCGCACTGACAGATGAAGCTGGAATCGGTGCCCATGCAGATTCACAACAACAGATTATTAACGCAGTTTACATCCCAAAACTCAACTTACAGCAGTTGTGAAACAATGAGTCTAAGTGGATCTGTTAATACCAGTACACGTGCACATACACGTGCACATACGGCGTCACCGAAGAACCAAAACAAACCACACATGGTGGTACGCGTGTGCGCACTTCACTTTACGCTCCCACAACCACAGTATCAGAGCAGAGGAGGCGCTGACACAATTCCCCTGTTCATAAGTGTGGGACCTTTATTGGAGGAGCTAATAAGAAATAAAAAGACATTGACAGTCTGTTTACTGTTTCAACACTCGGTGCGTAACTTGCTGGCAACTCGATGACCAAACTACACCTGTGCGTCGCCGAAATCCACGCGCACTCAGTGGCAAACACAGCTGTCCCATCAATACGCAAGCACCACAAAACTGCACTGATCTATTCCAGAGGCTTGGCGACATGTTAGTAAAAAAGTACAAGGCAAAAACAAGCGTCTTCCATCCATGTTTGACATACGAGAAGCAGATACACTCCGTGTGGCGCTTTCACACCGGAAAACGAACCAAAAACTGGTCCGATTAACGAGCCTCTGTATCCCGGTAGAACAGCAATATCTCCAGTAAACCAATACTGATGTTCCCTGTTAATACCTCATCTTATCACCATTAACTCATAAAACAGCAACATAGAACTTTGTACAAACTCACCGCATCAGCCCAGAGTTTCGGGAAACAGCAGCAGCCAACAGCGCTAACAGTAGCGCGCAGCTCCTCAGGACGGGTCTGGGGTCTGGTTCTTGGTTTTCTGTCGTCCTACAAGAGCGTTGGTCAGATGGTCCGGAGGCTCCATCCTCCATGTGCTGGTTCCAAACGGTGGTGAGCAAGACCAGTGCGCAATGACTGGGTCTGAGCGGGTACGTTCCGCCGTCTGCGCGCTGGTTCCGTGTTCCGTGCGGGAAAGTGAGAAGCGCTGTGGACTATACCTACAGGTCTGTGCTGCTCCTGTCCTCCGCGCTCAAGAACCGCGACTGGTTCCGTGGTGGTGCAAAGCATCCGGACAGAACGTGAATCCAGTTTAGTTGGTGTCCGCATTTGGGTTCTTCCCGGGAAAAGCGCTTTTCACTCCCCGCTCCACGTCATCTGAGCCGGACAGAACCGGAGCTGCTCCCGCTGGTTCGGGACTCCGGTTTGGATCTAGTCTGACTGTATTTCTCACACGAGGCTAAAAGCAGGACATTTTTAAAGGTGAATCAATTGAATGGGCGATTGCCTATTGCCATAAAATTATTTGGTTAATTAGCCTAAAATAACAAATGCTGGTTCCTTCTACATGATCACGGGGAACAACCGGGACCTCTGTAGGTCCTGAACAGAAGTACACACCCCCATTTTTGACTCACTCTGGAGCCACACGTTCGCACGTTCTTGCTCTGATCTTTGTGTGTTACATTCTCTTTATTGGCCAATTTTGGTAAAATAATTCGAAAATAAATCACGGCTGCGTCTGGACAACAACCTGTTACTGCGCTGGAGTCGTACAGCGCGTCATTTCAGGCAGAGGAGACACGTTTCTCCCATGATGCATCTAGAATAGTTCGTTTGGACTGCTGTCTGTGGTTTGGACCCCGGGTTCGCGTTCACACCAGAGGAACCGCACCAAAGTTGGTCATTTTGGTGCGGATTCAAGCGAACCGAGACCACCTCTTTTTTGCGGTCTCGGTCCACTTGAGTTGGTTCGGGTCCGAGTCCGATTGACGCTTTCACACCAACGCAAACGAACCGAGCTAACCACTTCTGGTTCGAATGGACCGTTTGGTGCGCACCAAATACTGTCGGTGTGAAAGCACCTAATACAGGTCAAGGCTCACTGATGAGCATCTTCAGTCTATCCTGAGGATCTCATCTGCTTCCTAATGCAAGCCAAATATCTGTCAGCTGTGCAAGATGAAGCGTTGCCAGGTTTCAACCAGCAAGGAGTAGGTAAAAGAAGAAGAGTAGACATATTAGTTTAAACTTACATTCTAAATACATTTTCATGTTCTGAACTGTTATTAAAGATTAAGAAAGTGTGTTGCATGTTGTTCTTTCTCTCTTTTTTCCCCGTGCAACCGCTTTTTATCAAATACTCAATGCGGCCCAGCCTCACTCAGACTTTATCTAATGTGGCCCCCAGGTAATTTGAGTTTGAGACCCCTGCTTTAAATGATGTGAAATGGATAAAAGAGTGAAAATATTTGGAGCACAGATTCAAGTTCAGATGTTGTAGCTCATGTCAGTGTAAAAAAACACACAACAAATACTGATTTAACTTTAGTTTTTGATTTTATTTTCTACAATCCACTTTTCTAAGCATCATTAAACATATGAACAGTGTCGATTAAAAGCATTGGGATCATTTCTCTTCAATCCTCTCACAGCACACAACCATAAAACAGTAAAACAGTTTTTGAGACAATGGTAGATTCTAAATAAACTCTGTCAGTATCAGTGTCGGCTCTGTGTTCTGACATGTTGTAGGGTTCTGGTTCTGGTTCGGCTCTGGTTTTAAAATTATGTCTGAGTTTAGGACTGGGGCTGTGGGAACAAAAGTACTCTCATTATAGCTGCTGACCTGCTTAGCTGCAAATTATATTTATAGTTATATGAGCGATTTGTTGTGTAGATAGCAAGAAGCACATTGGAACAAGATGAAAGGAAAAAGACACCACTACACAGCAGGACATGTAGCATAAAGAATATTTACAACTGGTTTGTTCAATAAATTCACAAAGCTGACAAATTTGTTCTGTCCGAGTCATCAAATCTCTTCATGTGGCATGTTTTTTTTAATAGTTTGCATATCTTAGAAAGCGTTTTTTCAATTACTAATATAGTAACAGTTTTAAGCAGTGGTGTAGTGGGATTTTTTTAAGTGGGAGAACGCGACCCCCCACCCCCTCCCATGACATTTAAGTTGTAGCTATTTTATTTTATTTATTTAGTTATTTTTCATTTTTTTATATTCCATGTTGCCCACTATACCCTTCCTTTTAAGCCATGCTTGAATACACTCAAAGATCTGTATGAAAAATTGTTTAATAGCCTCCCATACATTTGAAAAAAACTCCATCACTTCCTGTCCTATACTGGACTTTCCACTGTGGCTGAGACTCAGGGCGAGGGCGTGTTTTTCTGCCAGCATGTCCAGGGTGTAGTGTCGTCTGTTCTCCTGGTGCATCAGGTCCACAGTGTGTAAGAGTCTCTGCACCTGTCGCACGTCGGCTCTTTGTTCATTGTTGAAGACGTTGTATCTGCCTCCACATTTCTGCAGCAGTTCCTTCAGAGGGGGCGTGGTCTCGATGAGCCGCTGTAAGCTCCGCCCCTTCAGTCTGTCTTTATGAGTGAACAGCAGAGTGACGTACTTCAGGTCCGTGTCAAACACTTCAGACAAAAGCTGCAGCAGTTTACAGTCCACCTCAGAAATCCTGCCGATCTTTATCACCAGGACGAAGGCGTGAGGACCTGGTGCACATTCTATCATGGCGTCTCTGAGCTGCTCAAACTGCTGCTCCGGAGTGAAACCTTCAGCCCCAAAGCCCGGAGTGTCCACCACAGTGACTCTTCTCCCCCTGACCTCTGCATGTTTACTGACCACTTCCCTGCTCACACTGAGAAAGTCACAGCCCGTTCGAAACTGCTCCGAGCCCAGGATGGTGTTTCCAGACGAGCTCTTCCCAGCTCCAGGTAAACCCAGCAGGATGAGACGCACGTCCTTTGGCCTCTGCAGGTTCACTGGACTCTCTGTGGACACACACAGGGACAATCTGAAGAAACATCTGACTTCAAGCAAATACCACAGGGAGCTCAAGAGGAACACTGCTACTTTAAATATTGTTACTCAAGTAGAACAAAGTAGAAACTCAAATCAGTATTCAAGTAAGAAAGAAAGAACTGAGTGACAGTTTGGATGTAAAATATATTTAAAATATCAAATATAATGATGCATTAAGGTTTGTATAAAACAGTTGAAGTCTATGGATGAAATGGGAAGGGGGTTTGTAGCTGACAATAATGTCAGAATATTTGTTTTCATGGTAATAATTGAGAAAATTTTTATTTTATTTGTTCAAATATTAACTCACTGCCTGTTGTTTTATTTTTCCATTATTCAGACGTATTCTCCCCCCCCCCCCCCCAGACCGGACCCGTAACATACAGTGAAAACAGACACACGATATCCAAATCACTCAGAGATTTGCCAGAGTTTGTGTTGGTGACAGGTTCACACTCTCTGTCTGCAGCAGAAACAACACGCTCCTTTTCACACAGTAAACACACATACTTCACATTATATTTGCAGTTTAAATTTGTGTAAATTTCCCTGCTGTAACACTGCTGTCCCTTGAAGACGACGTCATTACTGCTTCTCCTTGGCATGTGCACTGCAGCCAGTACGCAGAGGTAGCGCCAAGGAGAAAGGCACGTGTCCGTCTTTCATGTTCATGTTCATGTTTGTGCGTGAATGAGAAATAATCACAACCACAACCATAATCACAGTCATATACTTATTCATACCCAATCATCAATAAACCTTCCTCTTCAAACCACTGGATCCTTCTGCAGTCTTTCTGACCGAAGACTTAGGCCAGACTCCCGTTGGCCAGAATACATCATATATCCAATATTTCACAAAATTAGTAAAGGAGGCTTTAAGTATTTTAAAGGTCCTATACCACACAAAACTGACCCCTGTGAGCTCTAAGTCCTGTTCTAATGTTCCCTTCTCAAAATGCTCTGTTCCACCTTGTGATGTCATGAAGTGGTAGTTTTCGAGTGAACAGTTCCTTTTATCTTTAGTTCAGTAGAGTCTAAACCAAAACAAACAAGAGAACAACAGGTGACTCCAGGTCAGGTCCAGAGGTGTGGAAGCTCAACTTATGGCCCTGAATGATTCTGCTGATATGACCCCACACCCAGTGCAGTTTAATAGGCCTAAGTAACTAAAAGAAACTGTAAACAAGTGTGTGTTAGTTTCAGAGTAGTTTCAGTGTAGTTAGCTCCTCCCTGCAGACACATATAAGGAAGCGTCCACCAGCGTCTGACCAGAACTGAAGAAGCAGCTTGGATGATCTGAGAAACGTCTTCAACCAAATAAACTTTGTCCAGTCGACATATTGAATTTCTCATTTGCCATAGATTCTACCTGGACGATTTTTCACAAACCATAACAGTAAATACAGCAGCAGTCGAGCCACATCGCCCTATGTCGTGCTGAACGTTGCACTGACCTGTGTGAATCTGGCAGATTTTTTTCATTAATTCCAGGACCTGTCTCTGGTTTCTCCGCTGGTTCTTCTTTGATCGTTTTTAGAGTGTTGTTTGAACACATGAACTCTGTCTCCAAACTCCTGCACCACATTCCTCAGAGGACTGTCTGGGTCTTCATAGATGAACTGCTCCAGACTCATGTTTCCTAAAACATCTGCTCCGGTGAAGAGCAGGAGACTTCTGCTCAGACCCTCTTCTCCCACAGCTCCCATCGCCGTCCTCAGAGCCTCGTCCTGCTCCTGTGTGAAGCGATCAATCTTCAGGACGAATAAAAACAAAACATTCTGGTTGTTCTTCATCAGCTCCTGAGAGAAAGAAAGTAAGAAATGACCAGTTTATCAATGTTTGTGAAAATAATAATATCATCAAAATACTGAATGAGAGAAATCAACTTTGTTTATTTTAATAGTTGATCAAAAAACACAAAACTACAATGGAACCAAAACAAAACCTTACACAGGATCCACAGAACAGCACAAATGTGTATCCACATAAACACATGTTCATCAGAAACAGAAATTCACCATCAGGCTCCTGAGGTTCACACTCACCTGACAGTGTCTTCTGACCTCCTGTTGAGCGCTCATGATTCCAGGAGTGTCCACCACTGTGACCTGCTGACCCTCCACTGTCCCGCTCTGTGCACAGATCTCTGTGGTCACTGAACTGAAGGTGCGTTTGGACTCAAACGCCTCTCGCTGCAGGAGGGTGTTTCCTGAAGCACTTTTCCCAACACCAGTGTGACCGAGAAGAACCAGGGTCAGAGCAGAAACCTGCAACACACACACACACACACCAACATGTAGAGCTTTAACTCACTGGAGCTGATAGATGCAGTCGTCTATCGGGCACTCAAGTACAACTGTGATTTTACTGCAGACTTTTCAGACTTTATGGCCAATGTCACAGTGAAGTACAATAAATTTTAAAGGGCCCATCTTCTGCAAAATCAACTTTTCAGATCTTTCTACCTTCTCAGAGTGATGTGTGGCCTTGTATTTGTCGTCAAAGTGGTTTTTAGATTGATTTGTTGTTGTTTTTTTTTAACAAATTGCAGCATATTTGTGCCACCCTCCCACGTGACAATGAACTAAAGCTGCTACAATGATGACGTGGCAGATTCACCTATGACACGTTTGACGTAACAGAAAGCGCTTCACATCTGCCCCACTCCCCCCCTCACTGGCTCCACCCCCTTGACCCCACATTGGCTGACAGTTCCCACATGTACCTAAACAAAAGCGACAGCAGAAGCTCATTGTTCTACACTGCAGTGAATATGATATAATAAGTTTATCCACTAGTGTTTATTAAAACTTTACCAATCAGTAATGTTCAGCTGATGTGGACGCGGTGCTTGAGCTTCGTGCTCCTCAAAGTCCTCGTCCGATTCTGGGTCCAACACGTGCGGCTGAACGCGCTGTATCTCCATGATGAATAAAAGTTTATTCCTGCCGCTGTCAGGGTCACGTCTGTCTCCCCCTCCCTCCCTGAGACGGCGGAAGGAAGGCCGGTCACTCGTCGCCTACGTCACGTTTGGAGGGCGGAGCCTGTGCTTTCTCAGGACGGGCGGGAGGAGGAGCAATAGTCGGACTTTCATAGTTCCTGGTCAAGAAATCAGTAAGATTTCATAACTATTGTGTAATGGATGTTCCAAAACCCAAACTGCGCTTGAAAATGTGCATAAGATACAATGTGAAAAGAGTTATTTTACATGAGATCGGCCCTTTAATGTACATGTTTGCTGTTCGTGCAAACCCCTGGCCAAAGACTTTTTTTTTTTAGAGCTTACTGATTCATTTAATCTGATGCAGCATGTCACTGTACCCACTCAGGAGCGAAGACACACTCTTGATTTGGTTTTATTCTCTGATCATTGTTCTGTTGTGTTTGATTTTATGATTTATTTTAATAATCTGTGTGCTCCTGTGCACTTTACCCGCATGTTAAAGCCCTCCTCAGCCGCATTGTTTTCCGCTGCTTATTCATATATGAATGTGTTAACTTAATCTCAAATGGACACTAATGAGTTGACCACGTCTTTTCTAACTGCATGTTCTACTGTATTAGACTCTGTTGTGCCTAAACGTCATGCGTCCTAAACATCAGGGAGACGTCTGGCTGAATGACACCACCAGAGGAGCTAGAGCAGAGTGCAGGAGCGCAGAGAGAAAATGAAGAAAGGATAGACTTGTAGTCTCTAAAGATATTCCAAAGGACTTTTAAAATAGTTGAAGAAGCTATTAAAAAAACTATTATTGTCCCTTCTTCCAATTTGACTACCGTTAAGTCCAGTGGCTTATTTTGCACATTTTGAGACAGTCTCACTTCCAGATCTCTCAAAAATTGTTGGTCAATTAAAGGTTTCATTTTCATATATACATATATATACAAATACATATCCATACATATACACATACATACATACATATACACACATACACATATATACACACACATATATATATGAGATAGAGATAGAAAATATTAGGCTCTGCCTTTATAATACGAAGTGTAAAAGAAGAAATGTAGTGAAATATATGTATGTGTATGGATATATGCCTGTGTGTATATATATGTGCATGGATTTATATGTGTGTATATGTGCATGTGTATATGTGCGTGCGCAGGTGTGCGTATATGGGTGGGTGCGCGTATGCATGCGTCCACACATGTATGTACATAAGGGGTATGGTTATGAACATATAATGGAAATGAACGTAGAGAACAGATGTTTACATATATGTACATGTGTGTCTATAATGTGTATGTATGGGTATATATATGTATATATATGTGTATGTGTGTATATATATATCTATACACATCTATACACACACACATACATATGTGTTATAATGTGTATGATATATATGGATGTGTGCTTATACTCATGTGTAATGAAATTAATTTAATAAATATAAAAAATAAAAAAAAAGGTTTCATTATGTTCCACGGACAGCATTCTGACACGCCTTTTCAAACATGTCTGGGAAACTAAAAATAACAAAATTGATTGAACTATTTGAACAATTAGAACAATTTTAAATAATTTGAACAATTTGAACAATTTGAACAATTTTGAATAATTTGAATAAATTTGAACAATTTGAATAATTTGAATAATTTGAACAATTTGAATAATTTGAACTATTTGAACTATTTGAACTGTGTCCATGTTATTGGGACCCATTAAACCCCATCATGTATGCTTTATTTGCTGTTCTAGCATGTCAATGTTACTGTTGCCAGTTGTCAAGAGGGGATTGGTTAACCCCCCCCCCTCCCCCCCTCCTCTTCCCCCTTGACAATTGGCCATCAAATACCCGGGTATATCCATTACTTTTGTCATGAAATCACTGGTGTGTTTTCTTCATGATTTATTAAAAACATTTTTGAAGTGCACTATGCAATTTGAGGATTATGTATCATTGACTATAACTCCAATCTTTACAGTGTGATTTACCTGTTGTGTTATGTATGGTATGTTGTCAATATACTTGGATTCAACATGTAAAAGTTTTAATTTTTTATTATTATATATATATATATATATTATATATTATATATTATATATATATATATATATATATATATATTTTTTATTTTTTTTTAAGTATCACGTGTTCTGGGTTTGCAACCCTTTATAAATGGTCACACCTGCTGTTGATTCAATTAGCCCTGATGAAGACCAAGTAGTCGAAACGTGTTGGCGTGACTTTTAATAAATTCATCGCAAATCAGAGCCTCTGCCATCTTTTTTCTATTTTATGTCTGGGAAACTGTTGGGCCTCATGTTGTGGACATTGTGAACAGCAGCCTTACTTTTGATGTAGTGCCTGCGTCCTGTAAGCAGGCTGTTGTTGAGACTCTTCTGAAAAAGTTTAAATGAGCTGAACTTGTCTAACTACAGGCCTATTTCAAAGCTTTCATGTAAGTCAAAGATTTTAGGTCTTTGTTCAGCTGCTGTCTCTTTTACAGAAACACAACATCAAGGATGTTTTTCACTCAGGATTGTTTTCAAGTCATTTCATAGCACAGACTGCACTTTTAAAGGTTTTTAATGATTTGTTTTTATTTACTGATGCTGGAAATGCAGCTGTTCTTTTGCTTGTAGGTCTCACAGCTTCGACACACTGGATCACACTGTTGTCTTATCTCACTCGGAGTGAGTGACTGTGTGGGTGTCAGGGAAACTGCACTGGAGTGGTTCAGGTCCTATCTGGCAGACAGGTCCTTTACTGTCAAATTTGAAATTTGAGGACTCCTTCTCCTCTCAGGCCCCCGTTTTGTTCTGGATTTCCCCAGGGTTATATTCTCGGGCCAGTTCTCTTTTCATTGTACCTCCTGCCGTTGAGTCAAAAAAACAAAACCAAAAAAAAACCCCAGCAATATAGGATATCATACCACTTCTGTGCTGATGATTCCCAAATCTATTTGACGCTCAAGAAAATCAATAACAGGTCCCTGACACCCCTGCTGAAACTGTTTAAATGACATTAAGGCTTGGTTGGCTACGATTTTTTGAAATTTGAATGAATCCAAAACAGAAATGACTCATTTTCAGTTTGACACGGGCTGTTTTCAACCGTACACTAAACCTACAGCCACCAACATTGGCATCATCATTGATGAAGATTTTAAGTTTGACAAACAGATAAATGCAGTGGTTAAATCCAGTTTTTCACCTGCGGCTTTTATACAGACTCAAATTGGTTTTATATTTTAGTGATTTGGAGCAGGTGATCCAGGCTTTTATCTCTACACATCTTGACTACGCCCTGTACACTGGTATGAGCCGAGTAAACCTGTCACAACTGATCCAACAGTAATTTTGTGCCCAAAGCTTTCTGGGTCAATGACGTCACAAGGGTGTCTTGTGTCATCAGGTTCAACTTGTGCTTAAGCTCAGGTTTGCTAATGCCAGCAATTGATATAATGCCACACTTTGCAGCTTTCGCTTGTAATTTCCAGTCTAAAGGCAACAAGGAAACTAATGTGAGCATTTACTGCTTTCCACGTGATGCTAAAAAAGGAAAACAATTAGACAAT